TTTTTATTCACAACACTTCTGATACTAAAATATCTGGGTTTTTTGCTTGTACTAACCAATTCATCAACTCTCTAGAGACTAACAGTCCCATAATTCAATTCAGTTCTGACACTATCTACCTGGAGTTAGTGTCAGATCCCACAAATTAAGGGTTCAGTCCCATAAGACTGCCCCTACTGTACACATGAATTGCATGTCCTGGGCCTCCCATACTTCTGACTGACTAGCTCTAAATCAAGGGTTCCTATCACCCCCTACTTGGGTTCAGTAATTTGTTAGAACAGCTCACAGGACTCAGGAAAACACTTTACTTACTATTACTGGTTTATTATAAAGGATACAACTCAGGAACAGCCAGATGGAAGAGATGCATAGGGCAAGGTATGGGGAAGGGGTGTGGAGCTTCCATGCCCTCTCTGGGCAGGTCGCCTTCCCAGCACCTCAATGTGTGCACCAACCCAGAAACTCTCTGAACCCTGTTGTTTTGGAGTTTTATGGAAGTTCCATTATGTAGGCATGGTTGATTAAATTACTGACCATTGGTAATTAACAATCGCCAGCTCCTGTCCTCTCCCCAGAGGTCAGGGGATAGGGCTGAGAGTTCCAACCCTCTAAACACATGGTTGGTTCCAGCCCCCATTCTGAAGCTATCTAGGGGCCCATCAAGAGTCACCTTATTAGTATAAACTCAGGTATACTTGAAAGAAGCTTATTATGAATATCAAAAGATACTCCTCTCATCCCTGTCACTCAGGAAATTCCAAGGGCTTTAGAACCTTTGTGTCAGGAACTGGGGACAAAGACCAAATATATATTTATTACATCACAATATTATACCTCCATAATGTAGGTAGCCCTCATTCAATTAGTTGAAGGCCTGAATAAAACAAAAAGGCTGACCCTCCTGTGAGTAAGAAGGAACTCCTCCTGCCTGACCGCTTTGAGCTGGGACATAAGTCCCTTTCTGCCTTCAGACTCAAACTGAAACATTGGTGCTTCATGGGCCTGCTGGCTTTCAGACTGGAAATTACACCATCAGCTCTCCTGGGTCTCAGACCTTCAGACTCAGAGTGGAACCATGCATCAATTCTCCTGGGTCTCTAGCTTGCCAACTGCAGACTTGAGACTTCCCAGCCTCCATAATTGTGTGAGCCAATTCTTTATAATAAATCTCTTTATATATAGATAGATAGCATAAAGGCAGAAGGGTAAAGAAGTCTATATGGTGGTAATACAATATAGAAGTTCTACAATCCACTAAAGTGGTAAAACGTAGGTTCTAAGTAGACTGTGAAAAGTTATGTATAGTATAATCCCTAGAGAAAACTCTAAAAATATATACAAAAAGATACTGTAAAAAATATAATAGATATATTAAAATGAAACACTGAGAAATGTTCAAATAACCTAATAAAGTAGGAAAGAGAAAACAGTGGAACAAAAACAGAGAGAACAAATGGAATACAAATAATAAAATGGTAGACCTAAGTTAAAACATAAATAATTACATGAAGTGTAAACAGTCTATATATACCAGGTAAAAAAGAGATTGTCAGAAGGTATAAAAAGAAAAAATAACCCAACTATATGCTATGTACAAGAAACTCACTTCAAATATAATAAGTACATTAAAAATAAAAAGACATATGTGTATATCTATGTGTGTACACATATACATACACACACACATAGATATACACACACACACATATCAGGTAAACACTAATCCAAAGAAAGCTGGAGTGGCTACATAAACATCAGACACAATAGACTTCAGAGCAAAGAAAATTACTAAGAATCAAGAGGCACACTGCACAATGACAAAAGGAATAATTCATCAAGAATACATAAATCCTAAATATGTGTGCATCTAACAACAGAGCTGCAAAATACATAAAGCAAAAACTGACAGAACTGAAAGAAAAAATAGACAAACTCATAATTACAGTTGGCAACTTCAGTACTCTTCTTTCAGTAACTCATTGAACTAGTAGACAGAAAAGTAGCAAGGATACAGAAAAACTAAACAACACTTTCACCAACTGGATCAAAAGATATCTCATCAGTAGGATAATGGTTGAATAAACTATAATAAATAATATTTATAACCAGGGCTACCACATACTACACAGTTCCAGAGGTCCTTGCACATAAATTAGAGTTGTGTGGTGCATAAACTACTTAAGTGTATGTAGTGGTCCTGCTCACGCTTTAGAATACTATGGATCCTTAAAAGAATTAGTTCACACATAGTATTTGCACTATATTCAAAGCAGAAAAGCAACATCCAGAAAAGCATAATTAATGTGGTCCCATTTTTATAAAACAAACAGAAACATCTGCATATATGTGTATACACGTATGTACATATATATACATATATTTGAGAATGTTGGTAAATGGAAGGATACATACTTGGTTGGCAAGGGGGTGGGTGTGGTAAATAATGTGGGTGAAGAAGGGGAGGACAGTAGGACAGGGACCCAAGTGAAAAAGGAAAAGAAAAATAAAACCTGAACTTAAAAAATATAATCACATTTATGCACTTATATAAAATAATGAGTATCTGTAAAAATAATTTTTAATGTAGTCTCAAATAAAAAAAGGAAAAATATTATTTTATTAAGTGACTTAAAACCTTTCAATGATTTGCACTATTGTACTTTAAATAATCTGAACTTCTTACCGTGACCTATGTGATCTGGCCCTTGTCTATCTCTCCAACCTTATAGGCTACTCCTCTCCCCTCCCCAGGTAAGTTTCTTTCTGGACTCAAGGGCTTTGCAATTGCAGTGTCCTCTGCCTGAAGGAAAGGACTATTGCCACGGGTCTTTGCATGACTGGCTTCCTCTCATCTGTGGAAGCCACAGATGCCTACCCAATAGCCATCCTCTCCTTCTTCCTCACCAATAGAACGCTGATTTCATTGGGAGAGCAATATGTCCATTTAAAATAATTGATCTCCCAGCCTCTCTTGTGACTAGGAGTGATACAATTCTGGCCAATGGAATATAAGTAGAAGTTACCACACACAGCCTCCTGGGAAGCTTTTTAAAAGGGTCAAACCAGTTGTATCCTCCCCTTTCCCTTTCTGCATTTTCTTGCCATGAAAATGGTTGTGAGGCTAGAGCCAAGGATCTCAGTGTGGTTCCCAGATCAGCAGTCTCAGTATCACCTGGGAACCTGTTACAAATGCAAATTATCAGGCCCCACCCCAGATCCACTGAATCAGAAACTCTGAGGGTGGGACCAGCAATCTGTTTCAACAGGCTCTTCAGGTGATTCTTATGCATGCTGAAGGTTGAAAGCCACTGAGCTACAGGGTAGAAGCCTCCTTAGAGCTAGCTAAAAAGATGGATGAAGACTAGTGCATCTCTGCCATCACAGAACAGTTGTACCAGGCTTGGACTGCCTCCTCTGGACTTGGCAGTTGTGTAAAAAAGTAATCCCTATTTGGTTAAGCTACTGTGATTAGGTTTGTTACGTGCAACTGAATGCAATTCTAATTGATAAATCATCTTTTAAATTTCAGTGGAAACATTATCTCTTTAGAGAGGGCTTCCCTGACTACTCTGCTTATACCCTCCATCTCCACCAAAGCCCTTCTCCATCATGCTGTCCTATTTGTTTCCTTTATGGCACTCATCACACCCTGAAATGATCTCACTTACTTGCTGTTTATTTGCTTATGGCCTGTTCCCCCTGTAAGAATGGAAGCTTCACAGGGGTAGGACCTTTGTCTTTTTACTGCAGTACTCCAGCACATATTGAAGTGTCTGGAACATAGTGGATGCTCTGGAATTATTTGTGGAATGATTTAAAGAACTTTAAAATTACATGTTACATTTAAAATCATGTATTTTTAAAACAGTCAAATGAAAACATGGTTCATTACAGACAATACACAATTTTCAAGAAAAAATTTTAGTTGAGAAACACATACACATGCAAAAAAAATGCATATAGTACAGAAAGGTCCTCCATGCTTGCCTATGAACACTTTCTACCTTATTCTTAAGTGACCTATCAATTCTGAAACCATAAACAACTAACAAAATAGCTATGTAAACATTCAAAGTGCCACAGAAATGAACTACATGAATTCAGCATTTCTTTGGCAACCTCTGTCTTTCCATTGATATCATTTTGTGCTACCTCAATCAATGTGGGAGACTTGTTAACAACAAAACTTCATATAGCCTTTAGATACAGACATTCAAATAAAAGCAAAAATTCTAATCTGTTTTCTTATGCACGCCAGAAGACACACACAATTAGGTTTTAACCTTGGAGAAAAAACATTCTCTTCACCTACATCTCTACTTTTTTTACTCTTCTAGTAATCTTAAGTTTGGTCCAAGACTAACATCACTGCAAATAAATGAGGTCTTCTCTGGCACCAGCCTATGCAGGTGTATTGGGGGACAGGATACAGACTGAGGGTTCCCTGAAGGTGAATTTGGGGCCTCTGCCCTCTGCTTGTGAGAGTGACCCAAGAAGCCCCAGTGCTCCTGCACTGGGAGAGGTGAGTTTTCTTTCTCTTACTTCTACCTCATATAAAACTGCTCTCATCAACTTTTGGAAATCTGTATCCTTTGATTAAAAAAAAAGTTGTTATGTAACATTTAAGTAAACTCTATAAATACTTTTCTCAATGAAGCACAAACAATCGAATACAAGAAAGTACAGTGCTTCCTTCTTAGATCCCTGTCCATTCTTTCTTGAGGTGCTCATAGGATCTAGATGGGCCTCCTTGGGGCCACCTTTGGGAAAGGAAAGCAGCAGAAAAGTGCCAGAGGCAGAATGCGGGGCTGCTCACTAAGGAAAAAAGGAGCCCTGAGATTTAGTAAGACCATTTTCTCCTTTTCTCACAGAATCAGGAAAGCATATTAGATAGTTTTCTGAGAGTCTCTTCCAAATACTTGGAGCTGAAAGGACTTCAGGTCAGTAGCATCCCAAGTGAAACCTTTTGAGAAGCCCCCAGAAGCTGACCTCAGCCCTCAACCCAACATGGCAGATTTTCCTCTTATTCTTAACCAGTGAAATAATCTTTTATCTTATGAGAGGCCTTTAAAGACCTTAGGTTTCTACTTGAATAACTTCTACCTGGAATTGCATCAGAACCAGCATCAAAGGCACCAGCCTCACTTGAGTAACGACAACATTCTATAAGGCAGGGTACTCACTCTTAACATATCATTAGAATTACCTGGGGAGCTCACTTAAAAGAATGTAGGTTCTGGAGCTCCACTTCCAGAAGTTCTGATTCAGTAGGTCTTGGGTGGGATGTGGGAATCTGCATTTTCAACAAGGTGATTTTGATGGAGGTGGTGTGAGGCCCACAACTGAGTACCACTGTCTTTAAAGGGAAAGGCCAGAATTGCTTCTTTCCCAGAATAAGATCTACTGTAGACAGTAACCCAAGGCTGCCAGACTGCCCAAAAGGTCCTCCATGTAGAGGTCTCCAGTGAGGAGGTCATCTAGACTCGTCCTCAAAGACTCAGGAAATGAGTCTCCATGCTGCCCAACTCTATAAGTGAACCAAAAACTGAGCTCACACTTGGCTAGACTTGAGGATAAGTGGCAAAATTCCAAAGTTCCAGAAAAGTTTTGTTTGCTTCTGGTCTGAGGGCCCATAGTATTAGCTTTTCCTTTCCCTTCTTCCTTTTCACTGATGTCGAGCTAAGGAAGCCAAATACACCCACACAGATAATATGTTGTTTGGGTATGGGTGAATGTATACAGCTAGAGCAAATTCTGTCTGGGGAAATTCAGAGGAGTGAATTCCAGTTTGATACACGGCATCAATAACTGACTGTACATCAGTGTATGGCATCTGGATAGGAAATCCTGCGACCTGGACCAGAGACAGAATAACACGTAAACCCATGTTACAATTACGTACGTAATCGGGAATTACCGTATGCAAAAAGATTACAGAAGCCTCAATAAATGGCAGTCATAAAATAATAATAATATTTCATTACTATGAAATGGTGCTTACTATGCTCTAGGTACAGTGCTAAATGCTTCATATACATATTTAATCCTCAAACAACCTTATGAGGTAGGTTCTATTATAATCCCCACTTTACAGAAAGAGAGGAGCAAAGCCAGGTCTGTCTGATGCCAGAGCCTGCACAGTTAGCATTCCACATACTTGTATCCCTTCTAGAATTGCAAACTGCCAAGAAATTACTTGATCCTACAAATGAGGGATTTAAGTGAGCATTTTGGAAGAATTTATTTAACATTGATTCAGTTTATATTTATTAAGTGACTATGTGATAGGATTAAGGGTTACGGAACATGGTCCTATGTAAAATTATCTATTTAAGAATACACAGACAAGAATCATAAATCTCTTTCAAGCTTTAGATTGCTTACTTTAAGAGGCTTTTCCTGGTCCTTAGATCTGTTCACATGCTCTTCCCATATGGTTGCATAGTACACTGTCCTTCTCTAGCTTACTTAATAAAATATATTGCAATTACATGTTTTCTGGTCTGTCTCTCTAGCCCATAGTCTCTGTGAATGCACAAGACTGTATCCGTCTTGTTTACTGTCATAACCCTGGTGCCTAGCACAATGCCTGGTACATAGAATACAAATAAATAATTAACATTTACTAAACACTTGCTAAGTGCTAGATGCTATGGTATTAGCTCACTCACTCCTCACCACAACCACAAAACAGATGACTACTTTTATCCCTGTTTATCTTGCCCCATGGGGTAGAAAATATAGAGAAGTTAGGTAACTTGGTTAAAGCTAGTGAGTGGCTGAGCCAGGATTTGAACCCAAGCTGCAGGATTCAGTCCAAGCTTATGATTGTGTTATTAAATAGTCAGATAATTCTACAAAGGAACTCCAAATTTTAAACCTTGGCTTATATTTATGCTTTGTTTATTTGTTTACTCCCTAGTTCTATTAAAAATAAACCAAAACAAAACAACTTCCTCCCTATTTATGAATGGTGTCTGCAGATCCCTCCCTGGCAGCCTAAGTCCTCAACTCGCAACAGATTCCCTCCTTTCTTCTCTCAGAGGGTTTCCCTAGGAGACTTTGTCTAGTTTATTGGATGGTAGGGCGAAGGAATCTCACTCTTGGGAAGCTGAAGCTTTCAAAGACCCACTGGGCCAGTTCACAGGGAAGAGGAGGTGAGAGGATTCCTAGAACTGGGGGCGGGGAGGAGGAGAAGAGGAGGACCCTAACAATACACCAAATGCCCATGATGTTTGGTTAGAGACTTGTTGAGTTTGAGATGCTTTCTTACCATCCAGGAGATGTCGAATGTGTTGGTGAATATGTAAGAGAGGAGGTCAGGAGAGAAGTCCAGGCTGGATGTATAAACTTGAGAATAATTTGCATAGAGAAGACATTAAAGCTTGCCTGGAGTCTTCTTGCCCAGAACTAAGGACTGGGAATCCATTCTATTACTACCATCTAGAGATTATTTTTTAGTTTCTTAATTACAGATGGTTTCCTTTTGGGCATCTCTTTCCCAAGTTTGTGGTTTATATATCATAAAACATATGACTGATTCCAAGAAAACGTCATGCAATGTGGTCAGGGTAATAGTTGTTCACCACATTTGAAATTTCTCCGTCTATAAGTAAATGCATTTCAACACCATAGCATCCATTGTCTAGGATCAAGATAAAAGGCATTTTGGGGATACTTAAGATTTCTATTATCCAGCAATTAACAACATAGATAAAACAAATGTCATTAACACATTAAATCATATACAAACCCAATAAAATTGTAGTAGTCTTTCAAATTCACTCTCTTCTTCGGATAAAACAAAGCTTCCGGTGCCAAGTTCTAACTTAGGAAGGATTTGTTGCAAAATAAAAGTACACTGTCGATTCCAACGTGTTGGCTGTTTAGGTCGCCATTCCATCATTTTACATTTCAGAGTCCTTTCAATCCTGAGGTAAGAATGTAAAGATTATTTTACGACAAATTGCAACTCATTTAATAAATGTGAAAAGAGTTTTGTTACTTTTACTCAAGTATGAGAATGATATTTTTTTGACTTAGGAGGAAACCAGACCACTATGGCTAGGGATATCTGCCATCATTCTCATTAATCAAGTCTGGGAGAAGCAGGCTCTTGCTTGGCTTGGGAAAGCAAGAAGCTTCCTGAGGTAGCTAGCAATTAGATCTCAAAGGCATTTCTCTTCTCCAGTTACCTGTGTGTAGGCAGCTGCCCACTGGGTGTGATTTGACAACACCTACCGTCTGATTACTGAGCTGACATTTCTATTCTCCAAGACCCTCCTTTGACATAAAACATTGTGTTTCCAAGAAAGTGCCTTTACCAAAATGCAGATATCTGGTCTAGGATAATGTTATCTGGGATAGGTTTCTTAGATTAGTTAATTCAGCAAGCAGAGTTGGGAGGAAATGAGGCACTGGACTGATAAGTACGATGATCAGTTTCCCCTATTAGAATGTACGCTCCATAAGGGCAGGGATTCTTGCCTGTATATGCAGCCCCTAAAACAGTCCCTGATAATGAACTGTTATGGGGAGGGGAGAGAAGTGGAGCACAGGGTGAGTTGGTTGATGGGGCCCTCCTGGGAAGCCTCTCCTCTGTGCAGAATCAGTGTGTGCTATAGAAGAAGCCTCGGGGAGTCTCCTCTTGGCTGAGTCTATAGTGTAACTGAGTAGTTGGGAGTTTGCAGAGAGTCTCAGTATCAGCTGTGCATCAGAATCTTCTGTAGGACTTTATGGAAATGTTTCACCTCCAGATATTGATTCAACAGGTCTGGTCTGGGACCCTGTCACCTGTATTTTTAAATAGTTCTAGAAGCGATTCTAATGAGAACCAGAGGTAGGAACCATTTCCCTACTGCATTTCTTCCTTTTTTGTTAAGAATTGGGGAAGAAGAAGGAGTCTAAGAGGTGGGGGCTGCATGTTAGTGAGAGAAGGGAGTGGCAAAATGATTTCTGTCTTGCTCTGTTTTGGTTAGTTGGTAGTGGCTTACATGCCAGCCTGCTGTGTCAGCATGAGTCACTGGAGGCAGTTGGATCTAGAAGCTTCTGACACATCTGGAGTAGGAGTGAGGCCTGCTGCAAAGGTAAGTCTCTGGGCTTGACTGAACAACTCCTTAGGGCACGTGTGTGTGCACGCGCGCGTGCATTTGGGGAAGGGGGGAGTGCCTATGAGGGACAGTATTGATGCCTCTACCTCCCAACTTGGATGTTTTTACCATATCCCAAGTTGTAGGCCATTTATCTTCATGTCCTTTCAAAAAGTATTAGCTACTGCATTATTATTGCTATAGGCCCAAAAGGTGTCTGTGTTGAGAACTTCCCAACAGTAGCCCACAACGTTTTCCAGAAGCAACCATTTTTAACTTGGCCTGTCTTTTCAAGGAGTGTCCTGGATGGCAGAGGGACTGTTTTTTGATTCATGTACCAAGAGACAGTTGACTCAATGGAAGTAACTATTATAATCTCCATTTCATTGCCGAATCTAATAGGTCTTTCAAGAGACTGGATTAGAGAACTGAAAGATGGCTGAACGAGAGATTAGGGAGAAAACACAGTAATCATAATATATAAGTAAAGATCATACCTGTTCTTCAGATCTTCTACCATGATTTTATTAGTATCAGAATAAATTATTTCTTCAGGCTGAAATACAGACAACTGAAAGTCAGAAAAGATTCTAGGGAGACCATATTTACATCACAGTCACCCCAGGAGTGCTAATTATAATGAGGGGGAACTCAAATCAGTCTCATGTGGCAAAAACACTCAATCGCAGAGGCACAAACATAGATCCCAGTGTTTCCTTTGATTTTAATACTACTTTGCCAGAGCATGGGACGGGGAATGGATTTATAAAAGATATTTTTCATGGGTAAGACAGATCTGCTGCCCCCATTCATTTATTCAAACAAGCATTTGACAGGCTTATTGATTCTACCAGATAATCTCTGGCAGCTGCATTGGCCTCTTCTACTTATTAACTGTCACCTTGGTGAAGTTACTTAACTTCTCTGAGTCTCAGTTACCACATCTTTAAAAGAGGGACAATAATAGCACCTACTTCTCTGGGGTCTTGTGAAGATTTTAAAATAAAGTTATACATGTAAAGCCTGGCACATATTCCTCAATAAACATCAGATATTATTGTTATTATTACTCTTCTAACATAATTTATCGTCTTCCTTCTTTGATTGAGTATTCATTTCTTGCAGCTGGCAGCCGCCAGGTCTTTATGTTTGCATGTGTGCGTGCATGCGCGCGCGCGCACACACACACACACACACACACACACACAGAGTCCATTTCAATCTCCGCTGTCTGCCCCTTTGCTCCAGGCACCCCACCAACAGCAGACAGCAATGCTCTACCATGTTCTCCCCCTGAGCAGGATTTGCTGGGAGGAGGGGAGGACTTTTCAAGTCCACCCCAGTCCCAGCCCAGCCCTCCCTGCAGGGCTCACATAGACAAGAGTGAGGGGCTAGGTTTAGACAGTTTCTACTTTGAGTATTTCTCAGCTGAGAAATAGAGGCAGCTGTAGAGACAGAGACAGATGTTTCTCCCTCATGAGTGGAATGAGGGTTGTGCAAAAAGAGGGCAACACTTGTTAGGCCTCTAGGTCCTGGAAAATTTCAGGAGTGATTTGAAAAGTCTCAGTCTGTCAGGTGATGATCTAAACCAGTGGTTCCCAAATGGTGGCTCCCAGACCAGCAACCTCAGACCTGGAAACTTGTTAGAGGTACCAATTCTCCACCCCCACCTCAGACCCACTGATTCATAAACTCTGGGGGTAAGTCCGAGCAATCTGTGTTTCAACAAGCCCTCCAGGTGGTTTTGACACCTGCCATGGTTGGAGAACCACTAGATTAGAGAACAGGCTCAGGCACAGGGAGTTTCCCCACAAGAGAACATGGCAGGAGATGGGAGATACTGAAGAAAGGGAAGTGTGAACTGTAGTGTCATCTTGCAGGAGCCACCAACTATCCCAGACAGGACAGGTAGACTGAATTCCCTGATTGCTGTCACTATCCACTGTCTGCCCCTCCAAAATATCTCCCTTCCCCTAGGTGCCCCCACCCTCCCCTGGCAACTCTTGTGGATTAGTTAGGCCACCTTCAGGCCTGAAAAAGAGGCCTGGGTTATATTGACTTGATAAGTTTATGGGGTATTATTTCACTTTCCTTTTCTGACAAAGGCCCCTTTCTTTCATGGAATTCATATCCTTTTAAACTTCAAGAAGATTTCCCTGTTAACTCCATCTCTGAATACATGTTCTCACCATTCAAATTTGTGTTCTCAAGTGTGATAAAAAAGTGTTCACTATAGATAGTGGTTTATTCTGGTATGTGTGTGGCAAGGCAGAAGATTGAAGGCCATTAACCCACAGGAAAGAAATCAGTAGAGATACAAGTCAAATGCAACTATGACTTTTATATATAAAGATTCTACTTGACAAAAGGTTTAGTTTCCACCCTTAGCCAGAGTGCTTTTAAAAACACAACTTTGATAAAACAGCATGGTACTGGTACAAAAACAGACACACAGATCAATGGAACAGAATTGAAAGTCCAGAAATAAAACCTCATATCTATGGGCAGCTGATCTTTGACAAAGGAGCTAAGGACATACAGTGGAGAAAGGAAAGTCTCTTCAATAAGTGGTCCTGGGAAAACTGGACAGCCACTTGCAAAAGAATGAAAGTAGACCACCTGCTTTCACCATACACAAAAATTAACTCAAAATGGATCAAAGATCTGAAGGTGAGACCTGAAACTATAAAACTCCTGGAGGAAAATATAGGTAGTACACTATTCGTCATCAGCCATAAAGGGATCTTTTTGAATTTCATGTCTACTCAGACAAGGGAAACAAAAGAAAAAAATTAACAAGTGGGACTTCATCAGATTAAAGAGCTTCTACAAGGCAAATGAAACCAGGAT